TGTGTGATGTGACTTTAAGGGATGTTAACTTTTAGATCTAAATCAATTGAGTTAAATAGAGTTTAGAATTAGAATAGAAAAGTCATTGTTGCACTTCTCTAGAAAGATGACCTTATATGCTTTTTTTTCTGAGCACTTTATATTTGGTTAAACTCTATAAGAATAGTGAATTCTCCTTGATATTGACTTAGTCTTAATAGCATGCCTTAACTAAGGATAGTGATGTTTAACTTAGTTATTCTAATGGGCCTTACTTTAGTTTTGGCTAAGCATTGATCATTCATAACTAGCTCTTTAATTATACTTAAAGTCATTAGCTAAACATATTGATAGGCTTATCATTGTATAATTGAATTTGAGTAGTTATTTTATCTATACTTGTTCATGATCCTTATGTTGTATCTAAAGCGTTTTCTTATATGACTCAATTATATGAGTTTAGTGTTTGGAGTCTTATGAACATAAGTTAAAAGGTAATTGTTAGTTACTTGCAACTAGTGATTGCTTGTAGACTTTATTAATTACTGCTGACACTTTACTTAGACATGGCGATTTACATTTTGATGATTTGTTATTTATAGTTAAATATTATTAAAATATTGGTCTTAAATATTCAATAAGGTATCTTTGATCTTAGTTAGGTTGGTTGTTAAAGAGTTTTAAGTGGTGGTTCACTTTTGCTTTGTTTTGGTGTTAATGGCATTGAAGTGATGCCTTGACATTGATACTAAAGTGAGACAAAATATTTCTTTATAGGCATATTGAGGATGTTAAATTTTTCATCTATAGTGATTGATGATTATTTGGGTTTATTGGAGATTGATATTTTGTTTCACTAATCTCGTAAGATGGTGTTGATTATTTAGGCCATATCTTTGTATCATTAGCATTCATGTATTTTGCTAGTTAACAACTATATTAATGTTCAAATAAACTGAATGGTAAGTTGGGTTAACTATGTTCTAGATGAGATTGCTTAGTAGAGGTTTAAGCTTTGGTTTTTCCTTGAAAGAATTATTTAGTTATGAACTATACTTAATAAGTGTTCATCAAATTAATCCTTTATAAATCCATTTGCTAACAAGCATAATAAGGATCATCAATGATTGATAATGTCAACTCAAGTTTAACAATGATCTAACAATTCCAATTATCAATTACTAACTCTTCCTTTTGCAAAACTAATATGCTTTGTTATGTTTAGCTTTTGGATAAATGCATATATATTCTTCATTAGCTTTTGCATTATAAAGCTTTAGATGTGCTGGGAAACATGTTGTGCGTTATATTATGAATTCATCTTTAGTATTAAAGTTAATTAATGCAAAATTTATGATCATTATTATACAAGATTTGGTTATAGACTTCTTTGAGTTTTGGTTATTTGAGTTTTCATACTTATTATTTCATTTGTTAAGAGTTGTTAGAAAAGGTATTTTGGCTCATTATCTTTGATATTCAAATTAACTTCTATATCTTGCATTCATTGGTAATAATTGATTTTTATTTGGGATAGCCGATTATTTTTGTTAAAGGTCTTGCCTGACTATCATTGATATTTGATGATTTTGCCATTCTTTAAGATGGTTAATTATTTTTTGAACTGAATGTGGAGTTGTTTCCTTAGTGGTGGTTTAAACTAAAGTATGCATTTATGAGGATATTGATGTTTTTAAAGAGGGGAGCATATCACGAATGTAATTGTGGGTATTAAAAGTTATAAGTCAGCAAGTTTTTTCAAATATTCTTCTTTTACTACTATGACGGTAAAAAATTAGTATTGGTAGGCCTTTTAACAGTCCTTCTATAATTAAAGTTAAATGGGTATTTTGAAGTCATTTAGATTGGACTAGCATAAAGACATAATTTCTATGTGTTATTATTTAAGTAGACTTAGCTCAGTAAAAAAAATTTATCTCACTAGTAACAAGAACCCTCATGTATTGAGCACTAATCCTTCAATATCACTATATGATAGTTTGCCATATCTTTTAAGACACCCTCACTATCATTTCCCATATGTTGGTCCCATTCAGTTCTATTGGCTATTTATAAAAAGTATCTAGATCTACTTATGAGGTATATATATGGAATATAAAGGGTGAAAACCATATACACTATAATATTATCCAAGTGATAAAAAATTTTATGGATGTGTAGGCATGTTTTGGAAGGAGGTGTACCTTAGGTAGGTGACATTGCAAAGAGCTCAAAATTTTACTGCAAGACAAATCAATTTAAAACATGTATATTTAAATTGTTTAAACAGATATGTGGCTCAAAAATAATCTTTTGGATACAACATTTTTTCAAGGTATGGGCATATATTGGAATGCATGCATGATGGTTTTGTACATATATGAATTCTTCAAATGCCACCTCATGTAAAATCCATATCAATATCACATATGACTTTTTTAGTGTTGCATAAAGTGGGAATCCTATCAGTTCATTTTGCATATCAATAGAGTTTAAGCATTGGGTATAGGCATGATATTTTTGTAATGCACAAGTTAGATTTTGAGCACTTTTTAGTTGACTTGAGAGAGGAAGACTTTCATAATTGAGATGGAGGATATATCATTTTAATTATTGAAGGCATTTTTAGCATATCTCTATAACAACACTAATTGACCAATGTTTTGCAAGCACCAAATAGCTCTCCTTGCCATATTTCATAAGTATGATATCAATTTCAAGGAAATAAGCACCTGTTTGAAGTGGAGATGAAGGATGAGCAATTGAGCCTTAAAGACATTATTATATATACAAGTGGTTCTAACACTATTATAATTCTGAAGTCCTATTTTCGAGACTGACAATTTAGACTTTCATGTGGAGCCAAATATGTCAGAGCAGATCAAGCTAATTTTTCCAAGTTAATATCATAAATTCATGGAAGAAAGAGAAAAGAGTGCTAGTACTTCTAGGTTTATATCATAAGTTCTTAGAAAGGATGGGATCATACTACTTTGAGATCAATACTAAGGAGCCCAAGGTGATCAAGTCAACATTGCCTGCTAAGAAATTTACACTCTACCTCAACAATTTTACCAAATATTCTTCTATGTCAATATATTGTTAGTTTACAATATTGGTCATAGGGAGTATAACATCCAACCAAAGAACCTAAATGATGATCTTCATAATGGCAAAAGAGCTATGTAAGCTCTATAAAGAGTAAAGTGTTAGAACTCATAACTCATGCAAAGAAATGTGAGAAATTTAGATTGTAAAAGCAGAAGAACAAAGACTTAGAGAAGGGGATAATTGTTCATTCGCTACTTCCAATCTGCTATTAAGTCACCAACTCAAATTAAGGAAAATTAAGAATGATGAAGACCTTCAAATGTTATCATTTTTACCAACTTACTCTCATGTGTGATAAAACCAAAGGAGATTTGTTAACCATTCACCACTTTAATATAAGTTAGACTTTATGCTAGTCAAAAGAGAATACAATGAGAAAGTACAAAATCTTGAAATTTCTATTAACACTTTTAAAAAGAGAAGTTAGATATAGTGGACTGAAAGTGAGTAATAATATAAAAAGCTTAAAGATCCATCAAGAAGAAACTAGAGCCAAAATAAGGAGGAGGTATAACTTATCCAATTGAACAATTCCTATATTTTTGTGATCAAATATATAAAATATATTTTGCAACAGCAGATGAGTGAAAGCAAATCTAACAAGGACCCTAAGTTCAAGAGGCAGATCAGTATCGTAAGAAGGAATTCCAAAAATATGGATTAGATGTTGTAGCATACTCTATCTCTTTTTCCTTAAGTAAACTAGAAAAAGGGAAATTACTTAATGAAAAAGCTCTTAATAACTATTTTATCTTTATTGATCCCCAAAGGTTCTAAAGATTTATAGTTCCATAGTGACAATAATTCCTGCACTACTGGATTGGCATACTAATCTTTGGCTCTAAATTAGAAAGTTGGTGTTGAATAAATTTGTTAAGTTGTGAGTGAAGTATTATATTAAATTGCTCTAATGCTTTATATAACTTCTGTAGAGTATTAAGACCTAATTAGAGCTAAAGAAAAGGATCTAAGAAAACTATTGATATTAGAGTGTTCAATTTGTCAAAAGCTTATCATAGAGAGAAAGAGAGACCTAGGAGTCTACAACTTTTAAAGAAGATCTAAGTTTGAATAAGTTTGATAAAGGTTGGTTGGCACATTGTTTTTGATTGGCAATTTAAATTTGAAGAGTGAGGACTATTTTAAGAAACTTGGAGAGATGTCAATATCCCACTATGAAGCAAGGTTCTAAACCCTATCTACATGAAATGCATAGCTCACTCAAATATATGTTTGTTTATATTCATTATGTATGCTTTTGGATATGCTTTTGGTAAAATTTTACAATAAATAACTTTTCATTTGGTGGTGAGTCCTATTGTAACAAAGATTTTATTTAATGAATACTTTTAGAATATCTAAGTATATTTTAGAGTATTCTTCTACTTTTGACAATTGTACACCAAAACAATCAATTCATCAAACCCATATCATATCAATCTGTAATATAAACTTTATTTATGTAAAACATTTATGTAATCCTGGTGTTATTGCTGAGTGTAGCATATTAATATAAGGTTTGAGTGTAACTTTAATGTATATATTTACTGAGTATTCAAAATAATTCAAGTAAATTTCCATTGTTACTACTGAATTGCAAATTAATGTGGAGTTCTATAACTCCCAACCAGAATCTAGGTCATAATATAATCTTGCGAAACGTCTCTCCAAGTTTCCTGAAATAGTCCTCACTCAAATTTAACTTGCCAATCAAAGCAGGAACTCCGTAAACTTGTCTACGAAACTCCAGCGGCCTTGCGTAAGATCTTCCTCAGAAGTTGTGGACTCCACCAATCTCCGTGTTTGGTTTTGAACTACACTAAAGATTTGTTTGATTGTTCCAAAGTGCCAAGTCGGAGCCAGATGAAAGAGACTTGCGAGAAAGTAAGAAAAGAAAATGGATGCCGCTTAAATGTGCTCGACTCTATGTCTCCTTTCCATAGGCCGCAGCCGTCTAGTGGGCATCTCTTGCTTTGCTACTCTCACTCCCTTTCTTACGAAGAGTAAAAGGCAAAGCTCTCTTGCTCTCTTTACGAATTCCCCCAAAAGTGTGATTGGTTCCAATGCAAGCTTTGAGGATTCAGGACGCTCCAACTTGGGCCATTGCCGCTGTGTGCTCTGTCATTGTTCTTCTGGCCCTCGCCATCAAGAATGTGGTCCATTTTACTACCATGGTTTGCTCTAAAGCCGGTCTAAAGCTCTCTTGGAGGTAATAACACAATGCCATATAAATTCCATGATTTGTTTTCCAGTGGTTCAAGCGACGCAAATGGATCCAAGTAGATGCTGCATTGCAAGGATTGAAAGAAGGTAAATGGCATTGTCTATTGTCTAGTAAGTTTCTAACTTATATCAATCGATAGAGTTAATGCTGCTTGGCTCCATCTCGCTTCTTCTCGGAGCTTTCCAATTGCTGGGGGAACTCTTTTGTGTCTCATCGACTCTTGGGGTCAGTGCGCGCATCACTCCATGCCGTGAAAGCTATAGAAGACACAGCCGTTCGAAGAACACTTGCGAAAGAAATGTTCGTATATACATAAAGTCCCATTTGGTTACTTTGGTTTTTCTACTTTTGGTGCTGTCTTTTCGCAGGGCAAAGTTACACTGATCGAGAGCGAAGATATCCATTACCTTCACATTTTGATATTCCTTTTGGGAGCTCTTCATCTCTCGTGCTGTTGCTTGACCCTGCTACTAAGTAGAGCAAAGGTAAAAACTTGGGTTTTATTTTTGTTCTTCCAAGTATGTCTATCAGATGTGGTCATGGTGGAAGTGGGAGAAAGAACTTAGCAAATGCAGTGATGACACAAGTGAGACATCACCTCCAGCTTCCCTAAGCCACCTGTGTTTCTCAACCATGACTGCCGTCACTGTGGGTTTCTGTTCAGAACTTTATCAAAGAATTCTCATTTGTCCCAAGCTTACAGGTTTGTTGCTTCCAGCAACTTGGAATCTCTGTGACTAAGTCAGACTACCAAGCCATCCGTCAAGCTTTCATCCGAGTATTGCAAAGCTTCAAATATAACACTCTCCAGAAGATCTAACGCGTTTTTAACTTTTAGAAACATGGATTGATCCCGCAGTTCAATTTTCACAAGTACTTATGCATGGTACTGGGTGATGACTTTCGAACGGTCATTGGAATCAGGTTCTTAGAAATCGCTGTGTTTGATTTTGGTTCTCACTCTCGTAATCGATGGCAGTGCCTATTTTTGGATTTGTGTAATCTTGTTTCTCCTTCTAAACATCAATGGTAAGCCCCATTTGCATGTTGCAATACAATTTTCTCATAGTATTTGTTCAGGGTGGCACACGTTCGTGTGGATGGCATTCATACCATTGGGAGTTAAGCGTGACTTCTATACTAATTTGCTAGCTAATTCGTTGAAATGCAGCTTCTTTTGATCATGGGCACTAAACTCCAGCTTGAATTACGTAATGCTAAGTTCAACGAGGAAATGCAACCGAAGTCCCAGTCCTTCCTTTACGTCTTTCATTTCATTATCTTCCAGGTATTTTGGAATAAAATGAAAAAAAACTGAGGAAAAACTGTGGACATGCAGAACTCGTTTGGCTTGACTTTATTTTTCTGGATCTGGGTAATGTCGTCGTCACCTATTCTTCTTTTATATTTTTATTTGTTTTATAGCTAGAGTTTGGGATCGATTCATGTCTTTTAGACAACAAAATAGCGGTGATAGTTCATGTTGTTATCGGGTAAAGTAATTTATCTTCTTTAAATATTTAACTTGCTCAGCTTTCAGGATCTTTGTCCAAGTTCTTTGCAGCTATAACACACTACCACTCTACACGCTTGTCTCGCAGCTGGTTAGAACAGTACTCATGTTCCAAATAAACGATTTTGAAAACCATCTTTTTCTTACATTACAGATGATGTGTGATGATCGCAGCAAGGACTTACTCTCGCGGATGTGTAACTCAAAACGTTTGACGCGCAAGAAAATCCATCACTCGATGCGGCACAGCTTTTGAAAACAATCGTATGAGAATGTGGTGAATGATATTCCCCTCTTCCAAAATAAGTATGGCAGCGGCATTTAGGTTCCTTGTCATGGAGAAATGTATGGAAAGTGCGGGCGCGCAGCGGACGTCTTGGGAGTCTTTTACAAGATGGAAGATTGAGATGTTTTCTGGTGGAACATTCCGATCGCAAAAAGGTATATTGTTAAGTAGCACCTGAAGTAGAAACTTTCGCTCTATGCTCTATGTTACTGCAAATGCATCATTGGGACAAGTCCCAAACTCTACCAGGTATATTCGCTCGCAAGGAGAATGACAGGCCTAAAGAAGTGTTTGTTGGCTATGGCGGAACACGAGGATGGTAAGTAGCTCCTCTAACTCTTTCCATAAAGCCTAGCTTTGCTTGGATTTGCATCCATCTAGGTGGCAGCAGCCGCGCAGCAGTACAATCAAAATTCTCCGCGCTATGGGCCGTCTACTCGAGAATGTCCGCGAGCTTCTGGATCCTACTCGTGCTAAGCACGCTCACAATGCTCGTCGCTTTCCCGGTGTCGAGCATCCTCTTCCGGCTCTACTACGTCAATGGCGGCTCCCATCGCTGGCTCCTTACATGGGTGGGATCAGCCGGGTGGCCTCTCCCGGCTATCATCCTCTTGCTCGTCTATCCAGTCCGCGGCATCGCCCCAACACGCCCGACCTGGACGCTCCTCCTCGCCTACGCGGTAATTGGCTTCCTCAGCGCCGCCGATAACTTCATGTTCGCCTGGAGCTACGCTTACTTGCCGGCATCCACGTCCACGCTGCTGGCCTCCAGCTCGCTCGCCTTCACCGCCATCTTTGCGTGGCTGCTCGTCCACAAGAAGCTCAATGCGTCCAGCGTCAACTCCATCGCGATCATGACGGCCGGGGCCGTCATCCTCGGCCTCGACTCGAGCTCCGACAGGCCGCCAGGGACGACGAGCAGGCAGTACCTCATCGGCTTCGTGCTCGACGTTGCTGGATCAGCGCTCCACGGCCTCATCTTTGTTCTCTCGGAGCTCGTCTTTGTCAAGCTCCTGGACAGGAAGGTTGGGTCCGCTGTGCACTTGGTGCTCGAGCTCCAGGTGGTCACCTCGATATTTGCGTGCCTGTTCACGGTGGTGGGAGTGATCGCCAGTGGTGACTTTGGAGACATGGGTGGCGAGTCCCAGGCGTTCAAGCATGGCCCCGTGGCTTACTATATGGTGCTCGTTTGGGCTTCGGTGAGTAATCAGCTGGGGGTTCTTGCCGGGGTGGCAGTGCTCTACTTGACGTCGGCTTTGTTTGCTGGAGTTCTGAATGCGGCTAGAGTTCCATTGACAGCGGTGGCGGCGGTGCTGTCTTTTGGGGACAACATGAGCGGCTTTAAGGTAATGTCAATCCTTCTTACGATTTGGAGCTTTGGATCCTACGTGTATGGAGGGTTTGTGGAAGAAGCAGCACAGCAACACAAGCAAAATGAAAATGACTCACTATGATTTATAATATAATGAATAGGACATTAGTTCCTATCTCCGCTGCTGGCTCGCCACTAATTTATTCTCTTCACGTTTCATAGCTTCTCTTTCAAAGATCCCATAAGTATAATTCATTCTGTCCCCCCTCCCACCAACAAGGAGCATGAGACTCAAAGGTTCAAATAGGTGTCTAGCGGCTGAAATCCTCTTCGCCTTCTCCTCTGCCCCCCATAAGAATATTGGTTTCAAATAAGTTGTGACACTTTCTCCAAAATTATGATTTAACTTAAAAAAGGAAAAACTTATTGCAAGAAAATTTAAAAGAATATTCTGTGAAAAACTTTATAGGTAGTTATTAAGATAGTATTTTCAATTACTGTACAGCAAATACATGATACACTGGTACAAAAACATGAGTAAATTAATCAAAACTTTTAAAGTTTATTCATGACCAACTACTTTTTAGCAAAAAATAAAATTTTACAATTAAAAATATTTTTTATCCTCGAAAAAATAAAATAGAAAAGTATTAGAATATTTTTATTTTAATTTCATTTTTGCTATTTTTTATCACTTTGTTATACCATTGTATTATGTATTTGCCATACATCAAATTTTTATATTTTAAAATAAATACAGAGTAAGCTCATTTAATACCAAGTTTCATTTAGAAACTATAAATTAATTTTCTATCTACATGTATAAAATTTTCATTTAAATTTAACTTGCTTGATGAGTGAAAATTATTTATAAGGTGCTTCTACTCCAGAAACACCCATCTCATCATTCTGACAAATATAAATATAAAAAGGCTTTTGAGCTTTCATCAAATATAACTTTTAATATCTATGAAAAACTTAATTGTGAGTGCATGAAATATGGAAATGGAATACAGAAATGTATATATCAATTAGTTAAAAAACTTTAGATTATATATAAGAGCGAGTGCTCCGGATTGAAATCAATCTGATGGTTATGAAAATCCCACTATACTAATATATGGCATTGTAGCCGGGATATAAAAGAACATTATGAGAAGGCATTAGTTGATTTATAAGTGGTATTAACTGTTTATAATCCTCTTTCTATGAAGCGTTTTAATTATTGCACATGCATAATTTCTAGAGGATTGGCTTGCTGGATGTCATACTAAACCTCATAAATTTGTGATCTAACTTGTTGCAATATTTAATATGGCTACTTCCACTAAGCAAGGATCCCCTTAGAAAAACCATGTACCATAAGATTGGGAAAATAAACTAACACCAAGTCATTCACTTTATACTTTGCAGGTGGATAATAATAAAAGTTTTAGTGCCATTGTTGTTCTACTTATATGCAGCTCAAATGTTCAACAAACTCTGCTCAAACTAGTGGAGGAATACTTATCAAATACTGATCCCAAGACCTAGCATCGGCAACTTGTGGCAATCATGAAGATAAACTCAACTCATTAGTAGTATCAGATTATAACCATATCGGAGTTAACTCTATACCCCTATAATATACACATATAAAAAAGATGGCAAATAACCATTCCAATCCAAATGCTAAAAATTCACGTACTTTTTAATCATGCCTTTGAAAGTCCGAACGAGTCATTCCACCAAATCATTTGATTGTGGATAATAAGCATTTGTGAAAGTGTGACATATCCCCAATCGAGATGTTAAAATATAAAATGCTTCAACCATAAATGTGGGACCATTATCTGAAAGAATTCACTTTGGATAGAAATGTTAAAATACCACTTGATAGAGGAGGAAGTATCCAATAACAATTGCAGACACATTAACAAGAGCATTGACTTCCACCAAATGAGTCAAATAGTTAAAAGCAATAATGACATACTTATTGCCAGTAGTCAACTGTGAAAAATACCCTATTAGATCAAACACCACTAACTCAAATGGATGGGAAATTGCAATTGACTCCAATTGTCCTTTTGCAACACAAGGGGGAATATTACAAGCTTGGCACTAAATGTAACTACGCATATATTAGATAACATCATGTTGCATCTTTGATTAATAGAAAGACTTCCACAACTTCATAGTCACACAATGATGTCCCATATACCCACCTAAAATAGGAAAATTATAGTACGCATGGAGAAAGCATGGAATAAATATAGAAGGCACCACTATAAATTCTCATCAGGATTAGTCCTCACATAATAAAGAAGATCGTCCTCAAAATGATATTGAGAATGTAAAAGTTAAAATTGTAACTCATCAGCAAGTGATGCAGGATTCTCAAACCCATCCCAAAGCCTTTAAATTGATAGCTCAACCTTTTGAACATCACGAACCTTATTAAAAGAAGGTAAATTTTGCTTTGCACTTTATGGACATTGAATATTAAGTACAACAACTATGAATAATATGAAATCTTTGTCCAAAAAATCCACAGATGCTAGAACAACATACTTGTTAAAAATATAATAAAAGAGTGAAAAAGGAAAAGGAACTCGAAAAAAGGCATTAACATTAGCTATAGAACTCCCCAGGCAATAAACAATATCAAAATCATATATTTGAAACTTAAAAGCCCACTAAGCAATATAACCAACCAAGTCCTTATGCTTCAATAATGAAGTAACTGCAATATAATCATTCTCTAGTAAAGTCTGAAAACCATGTAGATATGCATGAAGTTTCTCAAAAACCCCAAATTATTATTAAACACTCCTTCTTTGTAGTGAAGTAGTTCACTTTTATTAGTTATAATGTATGATTGATATATGCAATAGGATGGCATAGATTAGACACATTTGGGCTCTTTTGCATCAACATGCCTTTAATATTAATATCAGAAGTATTCATGAGCAAAATGAAAGGTCGAGTGTAGTTAGGATACACCAAAACTAAAGGAATCGTGAACAACTCTTTAAGATCTGTAAACGCTTGCTCATAGTCCATGGACCAAATGAAGGACAATGTTAACAACTTTAATAATGCTTTCAATAGTGCAGTACGATCAGAAAGATGATTAATAAAATAACTGAGATATTGCACCTTGCCTAAGAAGCATTATACATTATTCATACACTTTGGAGTAGGGAATTTGAGAATAGCCACAAGTTTATTAAGATCAAATTGCAAACCTTCACAAAAAATATAGTACCCAAGATAAATGGTGTTTTTGAACCCAAATACACACTTTGATCGCTTCAGCTTTAAACTACCTTCTCATAATTGATCTAACATCTTACGAATGTCATGAACTTGTTCCTTTTATATCCTTTTTGAGTGGATTAAGACATCATTAGTGAAGTCAGCAGTCACCTCTAGCATATCACAAAGAACCTCATTCATCATTTGCTGGAAAGTCACTGGAGCATTGTTCAAACCAAACGATATCACCAAAAACTCTTACAAACCAAATTGTATATATAAAGCAATCTTGGGAATATTTTCCTTAGCCATCAACACTTGTTAACACCTAAAAGCAAGATTTAATTTGGTGAATTGATGACTTCTTCCCAGACGATCTAGAACATTAGCAGTGTGAGGAAAAGGGTACATATCTAGGATTGTCACTTTGTAATAGTCGATGCAAAAACACCTATCAGCCTAAGGACTTTGAATAACACCATTTTCCAACATTTTTTTGATATTTGTATATAAAATTTTGATCTCTTTTAATGATTAAAGACGAACAAGAACCATGATTGAACGAGCATCCCCAATTAGAATAAAATGACGTGTTGCAATCTAGAGGGAATAAAGGAACAAGACAAAAATATAGAAGGAAGTAAGAGGGGACAAAAGTAATGGAAATAAAAGTAGACACAAAAGGAAAAAAAGGAATAAAAGTGAGAGGAATGGAAGAAATATAAAGAAATATGAAATAAAAGTTCAAAGTCACATTTGGTATAATTGTGTTGCAATCAATTCATACCAAGGATAAGGTCAAAAATTTAACTTGGCACCACCCATAATAACTATAACTCAAGTTTGAAATTCCCACATGCACCACTAAGTTTACCTTATCCCGTGCACATGCTTGTATATGGCCATTGCCATAA